CTTTTGAAGGACTGTTCATCCTAATGTAATTATTGAGCTATCTAATCAATATCTCCATAACTAATCTTCTTTCAATTCTACAGTCTCCTTGTGAGTTCTGAAACTATCTTTTTATATATAAATGTTAAACTATTTCAGTTTTGTGCACTGGTGCCAGAGATAGGTTGCTCCCGGTTCGGCCCGGATCGGGCGAGCCGATAGTAGTGGTGGCAGGAGGCATGCACAGAAGGGTCACGCGAACACGCCCGAACTAGTAGTAAAAAAATTGGCAACCCACCACTGATTGGTGCACCTCTATTTTTAAACCCAGAATGCTTATGATTGTTTCTCTCAAAGGTGGTGTGGGTGTGTACACACACACTTATAAGCAAATGGGAAATTTACTATGATAGGTCTGATATGAGAAACATTTATTCACGTTATTACAAACATTGAAATTTTTCAAAGCTTCCCAGAAATGTTGACACATTTCCTCTTTTACATTAAAAGAACTGTGAGTTGTGAAGATAAAATTTTGTAGCCAATTCTTTTTCCTAATAATTTGGACTATGGGTTTATGATATTACACCAGATGGATTTACTATATTTCTTAGAAAAAAAAGAAGAAAAGCTTTAGGAATAGGCTGCTGAATCACAGTGGAGGAGGAAAAAAGTAAGGTTAGCTTGAGCCAGTACCTGGGAAATAGGGAAGAATTCACACCGTTGGAAAACCAGAGCACAATGTCTGTAGACCGTGTAGTGTTACAGTAATTTTTGATTTTTACAGATGTACTGTAACAAACTGGAATCAAAGCAGGATTCTACATCTTACATAAGATCTGAAGCCAATCCTAAAATTGATAAGGAAAGTTATTTAAGGAAACTGAATTTTATGAAATCTGAATACTGCTCAGACAACCTAAGCCTGAAGACAACAGCCTTGGACTGCCCTATATTGAAAAAAAATGGAACCCTAGAAGAACTTGTTATTGCAGAGTTGATAAAGGGAAAGTATAGGTGAATATAGAAAGGTATCATCAAGCTTGCATTCCCATTTGCAGTACTGGCAAATAGTCACGTATCCACGGTATTTTCAGATCCTTGAGTGTCTGAGCAATTGGAAACCTCATTGTGGGAACCTTTAATCCACTACCCAGAATCTATCAACTGGCTCTCCTTGTATTCTTTGTGTAGGATTATAGGTTGCATGTTTTCCTTGTAATTTGTAATATTGGGTGTTAAAAGGACAGCTATTTAATGTCAATACATACAATGCAGAAAATTGTGGGAAATCATTTAGCTGAGCCCACTCTTTGTGTTTCTTATAAAATAATGATGAGAAAATAGACCTTTCTCAATATCTAGTTTTTCTTTCCTGTTCAAATAATTTCTTCAAAAAATATCTGACAGACATAACATTTTCTTTTTTCTTATCATCAGGTCTTTTTCAGAGGTCTTACAGTGAATACAGTGCGAGGATTCCCTGTAAGTGCTGCCACATTCCTTGGATACGAACTTTCACTCAAAGCCTTAAGAAAAGAAGCAGAGACAAATCCCTGAATTCTAGGTCAGTTTCACACAACCTCGAGCACTTCCAAATATGCTCCATCAGTACAATCATCTGAAAAAGATGAATGATGGGTTGGATATCATGGACAGTATCCAGTTGTTCTGCATCTGTACAAATCATGTTTTTGGCACTAAAAAAACTTTTTAATTGTTTGAAATTCTGTTATTTGTGGGGAAAGACACACACAAAGGTAATTTAACAGGAGGCACACTGCCTGCCCTCAAGAAATTTTTAAAAAAGCAATATATGAAGGTTAATGAAAAGCAATGCTTCTACTTTCACAATTTTAATTTAATTAGTGATACTGTAATTAATAAAACAGACAAAATATTCTTAAAATGAATCCTTTTGTTAACAGTATTTATTTCTTCATGCAATGACCACCATTTGCTGCACACTTCTGCAATATGCTGACGCTGTAAACCGCTTAGAGAGAGCTGAAAGTCCTATGAAGCGGTATATAAGTCTAATTGCTATTGCTATTTCTTGAGACAAACAGATGCCCACTGTTCCTTCGATTTAGGGAAAAGGATGGAAATAAATGGTACTAAATCTACTCTGATATGAATACCATATCCTGAGTGTGTCTACTATCCTGCACTGGGCTCTGGATGACCTAGGATAGGCCCATGGCTGTCCTGAACACCATCTCAGACCCCTATTCCTAGGAAAGGCGGATTAAAGTTTTTCCCAAGACTGTAAATATGAAGAACTCCCATCACCAATCTTGAACTAACTGTTTACATACATTTTTTTCTTCCAAGCAAATATTTTTGGTTCACACAAAAAAATAACAATCTTCTATAAAACACTTTAACTATTTAAAAGTTTTGATTTTTATTATTTGAATTGAAAAAAGGAGCAGCAATGTCAGATCTCATTTAAAAAAACCAAATAAGAGACTTGTATCCTCCCACTACAATGTGAGAAAAGACTTCAACGGAATACAACCGATAAAATTGAGCTTCCTAAATTCACTCTCATCCATATTACGCAGCGATGCCACATAATATGACACCTAACAATAAAGGTTTTTAAGAAAATTTGCTTGAGGATTTCTTATGGATTAGATGTGCACAAACATGTTGATCATACCCTTATTCTTACACTGCCTTCAGTTGCAATGCATGAAATATGTGCAGTTTTCAAGTTATGACTGTAATGAGCTTGCCCATTATGGTTGTAACTCGTTACAATCTTAAAATGGGTTGCCAATGTGCCCGACCCAATTTCACAATTTTTGTTGTTGCGGTCATTCAGTAAATGTCATTGTCATTAAGTGAAGCAATGGTTTTACTGCAGTTTTGCTGAAAACTAATATCTGCTGGTGTCACTGTGGGATGTTGCAAGCTGCTGTAAATGTTTTTTATGTTTTTACAGAGAATCTCAATCTGGGTTATCATTTTATTGTGTTTTATTGCATGTTCAACTCATATAATGTAACACCTAGCATACTATCAGTCTTTATCTGATCCACTTTCTGATTTCAACAGGTGTTTTAACACCTGAAGCTAGTTATTTGCATTATTCTGAATTTATTTTTGATTTAATGATTGTTCTAGCTGTCACAAAGAATAGATCAATTCCAGCTTCCACTTTTTCTTAGTGATTATAAAGCAGAATAATTGCTAGTTGTAAGTGTACTAACTAAAACATAACACTGACATCTACTGGTTTCCACCTATTACAGCACCCTTTGTTAGAGTTTGGCAATTAGAATTGGCAATTTTAATACTTTGTTTTACTTTAATAAAAAAAAAATGAATACACTAATAGCTATGGAAAATAGGTGATAAATGAGAATTCCCTTTAACAGAGATGGTGAAACAAGAGAAAGACACTATACATCAAATTTGGCTGCTTATGCAAATCTGTTTGATATAATCACTTTGTTGTCTTGCATTTGGAACTTTTGGTTAAAAATTACTAATGTTTTTACTGTAGCAGCATTGAAAAATAGCCTAATTACATTAATAATATGGCAGTACCCTCCTGTGGCCTAACACAGCATTACTATTTGTAACAGGAAAGATGTTGTAATAGGAAAGAAAAACAACAGAAGTCTAGATGAGTTGTTGAATAGAAGAAAAGTTAGAAAATGTTTACGAGTATTCTATGCCAGATTAAAGCAGTTTCGAATATCTGCATTTCCAATATCAGCAGAATTGAAAAGCTAAGATGGTTTATTTGAAAATAGGGCATAAGACATATTGAAAATGAATCAAAAATGCTTCTGACCTCAAATGAGCACAGCATCTTTCAGATTTTATTAAAGCAGTTGTGTCCCCCCCCCCTCAAGATTTCCATTTGAATATAATTAAAACAGCTACATCTCTTTTCAGGTCATGTGTTAATTAAGTGGTCCCAAGCTACTAAACACTTTCTCCCTTTTCTCCTCTCTCTTTTGAAATTGGAGGTGCAAGGCTTTTTTTATTGCATCTGAACCTGAAATAGTTTGCCAAGGAGATAATTTCCATTATTTTTGACATTTCAAGCTAACAGAATATAATTACTATTCAAAGAACTTCTGGAGTTTTCTGAAGTTGAAAACAATGGCAGGGTGGAAGTTCCCTCAGTTAGAGGACAGATTAAAGAGACCTAAACATTATAGAAGAGATAGAACTGTGTATATCACAGATAACTCATCTTTAAGTTAAATGAGAAACTTAAACTTAACATCCTGAATTTAAATGAGAAATTCATTCTCACTTTGTCATGCTGAGAATATTGCAAGGACTCAATGTAAACAGCCTGGGTAAATTAGCAACTGCTAAAAAGCAATGGATACAAGGCCAATCTGACTTGTTTGGCTATTTCACATAGATGGAATTGTAGTCATAGGGCTGGGAAGGAATCTCAGAGGTCTTCTAGTCCAACCTTGTCCTAGGCAGGAGTCCCTTATTCCATCCCAGATAAATGGTTGTCCAATTTTATTTTATTTTTTGCTCCTTGTCCTACCCTCAGGTGCTTTGGAGAATAAATCAATCCCCTTTTTCCTGTGACAGCCCTTTTGAGTATTGGAAAACAGCTATCATGTCCATGCTTAAGCCATGACTTTGTTAAGTTAAACATTCCTAAGTTTAACCTCCAGATCTCTCATCATCTCTATTGCTCTTCTCTGCACTCTTTCTAGGGCCTCAGCATATTTTCTGTATCGTGGTGATCAAAACTGGATGGAGTATTTCAAGTGTGGCCTTACTTAGTACAATACAGAGTGGTACTATCACTTCTTGTGTTCTGCTATCCCTGCTGATGCAGCCTAGGACTGCACTGGCTTTTTTTGTCAACGGCAATACACTGCAGGCTCATACTTAAGTGGTGGTTCCCTCTGACAAGTATTACTGTTCAGCCAGCTACTATCTAATTTGTACCTATGCATTTGGTTGTTCTTGCCTAAGTGTAGGATTTATTTTTCTCACCACTGAACTGCATCTTATTCGATGCATTATTGAATCAGTTTCTGTGCATTTGCAAAGGAATGTTTGGATGAGTAAAATGTTGGGTCAGTGCCACCAGTCAGAAGTAGGGTCTACAGTGCTTACTTCAGATGCATTAAAGGAGTTCTTTCCTCAAACTGTTATTGAAAGAAAACATACATTTAAAAGATTTCCATAGCCCTAAAAACTGCCGAGTACAGATTTACTATTCATATACCCATGAATGAAGCAGCTACCATAGCATCTTCCTTTGCTGGATATAGAAACGTTTTGGCCTATTTAAAACAAAGAAAGATATTTCTAAGGGAAATGTAGGATTAAGGAATCGGGCTGATTTACCGTAACTTGAAATCTCCAGGAAGTTAGAGAAAAAAAGAGCCGAGGTGGCGCAGTGGTTAGGGTGCAGTACTGCAGGCCACTTCAGCTGACTGTTATCTGCANCTTTGGAGAATAGTTTGACTCCCTCTTCTTTGTGGCAACCCCTGAGATATTGGAAGGCTGCTATCATGTCACCCCTAGTCTTTCTTTTCATTCAACTATTGGTTCTCCAGTTTCTTTTTGAAAGCCTCCAGTGATGGAGCAACCCTCAACTTCTGGAGGCAAGTTGTTCCATTGATTCATTGTTGTAACTATTAGGAAATTTCTCCTTAGTCCCAAGCTGTTTCTCTCCTTGATTAAATTCCATCCATTGTTACTTGTCTTGTCTTCAGATCCTTTGGAAAATAGATTGACCTCCTCCCTGTTGGCTCCATCTTCTTTGTGGCAGCCGCTCAAATATTGGAAGGGTGCTATGGTGTCACCCTTACTCCTTCTTTCTTTATTAAACTAGATTATATTATTATATTATTTTTAGATTTTATTATTAATATATAATTTATTGGAATTATTTCCCTACAATCCATGAATTTCAGCGGAAGGCCTGAAAATGCAGTTTTGTGGAGCGAAGTTTCCCATTCTACGAACAGTAACTTCTCCAGCCATTTCTAAAACCACACAGGGGTGCCAATTGATTAAGTCGACCTTCTGTTTCAGAACGTCACTCCTAATATGGGGCCCATAATCAGTCAACGAAGATGAAAAAGGTGATCAAACAATACAGATTTCAGTCCTCCTTGGTGCTCTCTGAGGTTGGGTGAGCACCAAGCCCCCCACCCCCCTCATTTCAACCCTGCGCTACAAACATTCCACTTTATCGATAATACAGATTTTACTGATTAGTAGAACACAAAGAGATTCGGGTTAATGCCAGGGTTCCAAGTAACGCCCCCAACGAAAGAAAACTCCGAAGCTTGAGTTTCCTCAAAGTTCCATTTTATTACAGATGTCATATTGGCACATCTGGGAAAACCCAAAGTTTCTAGGTTTTCCCCACCCAAAGGAAAGTCCAAGTCCCTGCCCAGCACCCACAGGTCCATCACATGATCCAATCAAGCACCATCCAACACTGGGGATGCCACCATCCGACACCACCGNGCCCTGCTTGACAGCTATTTATATAGGACCTGTCAAGCAGGGCGACCAATAGGAATGCCTTGGGCAGCCCGCGCTCAGCTAGCCGCGTCTTAGCCAATCAGGTGCAGCTGGGCTGTTGCGGCTGTCAAGCGTAAGTCGAGGACTTTAGGACCTGTCGCAAATCAAGGATGTCTTGCATTGGGATCGATAGGTATTGGACGAGGTGATGGACTGATGGGTGCATGGAATGGGTTTAGACTTTTGACTTACGGAGGGAAAACCTGGATCTCTCACATTCGGGTTTTCCCAGATGTGCCTGTATACTAATTCTAATAAATGGAAGCTTTGAGAAAATTCCTGTCTCAGAGTTTCATTGGAGTTGGGGTTTTCAGGAAAATATTGGGGGGGGGGGCTGTCCAAGGTGCTGAACTCCACTACCAACGTGAACCTCGGGTGGTGTGAAGACTCAGCAAAGTTGTAGGGGAGAGAGGAGATCGCAGAAGGAGACACAGGAATGGATAACTGGACAACTTAGCGAAATCCGGTATTATCCTTCTGAGGAAATGGGGCAAACCCTCGAAGCTTCAGATACAACACAAAGGATCGGCGCCCAGCCCAAGGATACAGATTCCTGGAAAAGCTGCCAATCTCATCCAACTCCAGAGATGCAACCGGATGAGAGACCAGCTGAATATACATATACATTGGGGTCAAAGCTGAGATCATTTTTCCACAACTACCATTTCGGGGGGGGGGGGCTTTAACACATCCTCCCCAAAACTGGCTTTTGTTTTTTTGCAGCTGAAACCAGAAGGGAAAATCTGTTGTGTTGAGCGGATCTGGGTTCAGCTCTTACTGTTTGGCTTCATTGTTCCCTTATTACTCAACACTTTACTGTGCGAGTTTACTCAACACTTGACCCTTATTACTCAAAACTTTACCCTGTGAGTCTTCCCAAAGTTTAGAATCCCCAAGATTGCATTCTTTCAAAGCATCTGCATTAACTTTTTAAAAAGATATCCTTTTTTAAAAGAAAA